ACACCCCAAAATGCACCCAAAATCATCACCCCGAGGTGTGGGGGACAAAGGACACCCCAAACTGCACCCAAAATCATTATTCTGAGCTATAGGGGCACACGGGGAACCCCAAATTACACCCAAAATCACCACCCCGAGGTGTGGGGGCACACAGGACACCCCAAACTGTGCCCCAAATCATCACCCCGAGCTATGGGGGCACACGGGGCACCCCAAATCACCACCCCAAGGTGTGGGAGCACACAGAGCACCTCAAACTGCACCCAAAATCATCATTGCGAGGTGTGGGGGCACACAGGGAACCCCAAACTGCACCCAAAATCATTATTCTGAGCTATAGGGGCACACAGGGCACCCCAAATCACCACCCCGAGCCTTAGGGGCACACAGAGCACCCCAAATTTCCCCTCCCCCGAGCTGCGGGGGCACATAGGACACCCCAAATGGCCCCCAAAATCATCATTGTGGGGCGGGGAAGCACATGGGACACCCCAAACTGCCCCCAAAATCACCACCCCAGCCTTGGGGGCACACGGGACACCCCAAACTGTACCCCAAATTGCCACCCCGAGCTATGGGGGCACACAGGGCACCCCAAATTGCCATCCCGAGCTATGGGGGCACACAGGGCACCCCAAATCGCCCCTCCCCGAGCTATGGGGGCACCCAGGGCACCCCAAATCGCCCCTCCCCGGGCTATGGGGGCACACAGGGCACCCCAAATCGCCCCTCCCCGAGCTATGGGGGCACCCAGGGCACCCCAAATTGCCACCCCGAGCTATGGGGGCACACAGGGCACCCCAAATCACCCCTCCCGAGCTATGGGGGCACACAGGGCACCTCAAATCGCTCCTCCCCGCGCTATGGGGGCACCCAGGGCACCCCAAATCGCCCCTCCCCGAGCTATGGGGGCACACAGGGCACCCCAGGCTGTGCCCAGGGCTGGCGCCGGAGCCAGACTGGCCCCGGGGGGGGCTGTTTGCCGTGGGGCCGGTGCCCCCCCCGAGGGGAAGGCTGGCAATTATGGAAATCCCTTAAGCCCTGATTGCCTCCTCCCACCCCATTAGCCGGGCAAACACTTTTAGCAGCGGGGTGCCCGCTCGCCCGTGGCTACAAAAACCCCGCGGCCCGGCCGGGCTGGCACCGCCACCGCCAGCGCCATGGTGACACCGCCGGCCGTCCTCTGCCTCGTCGCCTGGCTCATGCCACCCGCCGCCGGGCACCTCTGGGCATGGATGTTCTCCCTGCCACAAAACCCGCCCGAGGCCGCCGCGCTGGGCAGGAGCCCCGGGACGGAGATGGAGGAGGTGAGGAATGGGGGGGACAGCAGGGTGAGGAGTCCTGGGGACAGCAGGGGACAGCCAGGGTGGCAGCAGGGGTGGGAGAGAGCCAGGGTGGGCACAGAGCGGCGTTTGCACCCGGGGTGGCAGCAGGGTGGGCACAGGGGTGGCTAGGGGCAGAATTTACAGCCAGAGTGGGCTCAGGGTGGTTTGGAGCCAGGATTTGCAGCAGGGTGGGCACAGAGCGGGGTTTGTAGCCAGGGTGGGCTCCGGGTGGGCTCAGGGTGAGCTCGGGCTGGGCACAGAACTGGGTTTGTAGCCGGGCTGGCAGCAGGTTGGGCACGGGGGTGGGTGAGGGCAGAATTTACAGCCAGAGTGGGCTCAGGGTGAGCTCAGGGTGGGTTCAGGGTTACGAGGGTGGTTTGGAGCCAGGGTGGGCTCCGAATTTGCAGCAGGGTGGGCACAGAGCTGGGTTTGCAGCCAGGATGGGAACTGAGGTGGGTGAGGGCAGAATTTACAGCCAGGGTGGGCTCAGGGTGGTTTGGAGCCAGGATTTGCAGCAGGGTGGGCACAGAGCGGGGTTTGTAGCCAGGGTGGGAGCAGGGATGGGAGAGAACCAGGGTGGGCTCAGGGTGGGTTTAGGATGGGCTCGGGCTGGGCACAGAGCTGGGTTTGTAGCCTGGGTGGGAGCAAGGCGGGCACGGGGGTGGATGGGGGCAGAATTTACAGCCCCAGTGGGCTCAGGGTGGGTGCAGGGTGGTTCGGAGCCAGAATTGGCAGCAGGGTGGGCACAGAGGGGGCACAGGGCAGGTGCAGAAGCCGCGGCCGGGGTGGGAGCAGGGGACGGGTTTGCAGCGACTGTCACCACGGGGTTCTGCCGGGGACGGGGACACGGGGGTTGTTTCCAACCGGGAATGGACAGGGGGGCTCTGTTTGAAGCCAGGAGTGGACATGGGGGTCCATGTCCAGCCGGGAGGGCACCCAGGGGGTCCATCTCCATCCGGGGGGGGGTCCATCTCCATCCAGAGGTCGCACGGGGGGTGGTCCATCTCCATCCGGTGGGCACACGGGGTGTGAATGTCCATAGGGGGGCACACAGGGGGTGTCCATCTCCATCCGATGGTCACAGGGGGTGTCCGTGTCCATCTGGGGGGTGTCCATCTCCATTCCGGGGTCACACTGCGGGGTCCATGTCCATCCGGGGGTCACACTGCGGGGTCCATGTCCATCTAGGGGTGTCCATCTCCATTCCGGGGTCACACTGCGGGGTCCATGTCCATCCAGGGGTGTCCATCTCCATTCCGGGGTCACACTGCGGGGTCCATGTCCATCCAGGGGTGTCCATCTCCATTCCGGGGTCACACTGCGGGGTCCATGTCCATCCAGGGGTGTCCATCTCCATCCGGGGGTCACACTGCGGGGTCCATGTCCATCCAGGGGTGTCCGTCTCCATCCCGGGGGTCACACTGGGGTGTCCATCTCCATCCCGGGGGTCACACTGGGGGGGTCCATCTCCGTCGCGGGGTCCCCCGGGGGTGCGGCGCGGGACCGCCAGGGGGCGCGGTGGCGGCGGGCAGCGCGGGGCGCTCCAGTGGCGCAATCGGTCAGCGCGCGGTACTTATAGGGCGGTACACGAGCGATGCCGAGGTTGTGAGTTCGAGCCTCACCTGGAGCAGGACTTTTGTAGGGGCTTCGCGCCCTGTATGGCCCCCCTGTCCGGCCGCTGGGTTTTCTTTTCCCGAGATAAAAATCCTGGAAGCGCTGCGGATGGAGCCTCCCAGGCTATCAGAGCGCTCGGTCCCCTAAAATCACCCCACACCTTAAACAGACGGGGTTTTGGGCCATTTCCAGTCTCGGGGTCAGGGAGTGAATGGGGTGGGGGATGAGGTGTGGCCACCCTGATGTGCCATGTCCCCTCTCCTCCGCAGGTGACCCCGTGCAGCCCCGCCATCCCCTGCGCCCAGGGGCATTTCTGTGACGAGCACTTCGGGCTGTGCCTGCCCACGCGGCCCGAGGGCCACTACTGCCGCCACGACCCCCACTGCGCCCCCGGACTCGTCTGCATGTTCGGCAAGTGCCAGCAGCCCGCGGCCCCCGGGCAGGACGGTGAGTGGGGGGCTGGCACGGGGGGGACACGCTCTGAGAGCTTGGGGGGATGCGGTGCTAAACCAGGGGGTGCTGCGGGTCCCCCTAATGCCACTTTCTGTGCCACCAGGAGCGCGGTGCCAGCGGGACGAGGATTGCGGCTCTGGCGGCTGCTGTGCCCGCCAGCACGGGGAGCGGGTGTGCCAACGGCGCCTGGCACTGGCCCAGAGCTGCCACGTCCCCCCCGGGGGTCTGGCCTTCAGCATCAACCAGGTGTGCCCATGCCAGGCCGGGCTGGTGTGCCGACCCTCGGTGCCCTCCAGAGAGTGAGTACGGGGCGTGCCGGGCCGGGCGGGGGGCGTGGGGGTGACAGGGCTGGGGTGTCACCGATGTCTGGGGTGTCACCCATGTCCGAGGTGTCACCGATGTCGCCGATGTGTGCTCTGTCCCAGGAGAGCGTTCGAGTACCGGCCGGAGAAGAGCGAGTGGCGGTGCCGGCAGCCCTGAGCGCCCGCGGTGTAATTTATTATCTGTAAATATCGTGACCACAGCGTGTCCCGAGCCGGCCCAGCGCCGATAAACCCATCCCCAGGGGGGGGCTGGAGCCCCCCGACCCCTCCGTTGGATCCTCGCTCCTTCCTCTTCCTCAGAGCCGGGCGGGTCCTGGCTCCATCCTCACTGCAGAGCTGAGCTGTGCCCGGTCCAGCCGCGGTGACCGCAGCCCCTCCATGTCCCTCTGTGTCCCTCTCTGTCCCCCAGTGTCCCCTCATGTCCCCCAGTGTCCCCCCGAGTCCCCAGCAGGCTCAGGCAGGGGGGACAGGTCTCACCGAAATGTTTATTACAAAGAACCAAGCGAGCGGGGCGAGTCCCCCCGACCCACACACACACACACACACACACACACAAATCAACGAGAATAAATAAATAAAATACATTTTTTTTGTCGGGTCTTTTAAATTAAAAGTTGGTGGAGTGACATAAATTACGGGACGTCCCTCTGCCCCGCCGCCCGGATTTTTGGCCGCTGGGGCAGGGGGGGCTCAAAGCACTTGGCAGGCAGTGACACCGAGTCCCCCCCCCTCGAAAATAAGGGGGAAACTGAGGCACACGTGGGTGGCGGCTTGGCAGCGGCAGAGCTGGGTGCCCCCAAGCCCCCCGACCCGGGCTGGTGGTCTGGGTAAGGCAGTGACCCCGGGGACCCCCAAAAATGGGGGTGGGGGGCAAGGGGCTGCCCCCAAAGTGGGACAAGCCCCGTCCCGCGGTGAGGGCCGGACACGGGGGTGTCCCCAGGGCCACCCTGGTGTGGTCACCCCGCAGAGCTGACGGGGGGGGGGCACAGGGGACGCCCCGGGGCGGGCACAGGACAAGGCAGTGCCCCGGGGTGCGGGGACGGACAGAGGCTCACGGACAGACGGACAGACGGACACGGCTGGACAGGGCGAGCGCGGACAGGCACGGCGGGGCGGGGGGGTTGGAACGGGAAGGGAGGGGGGGCTGGGGAATGGGGGGGTCGGGGCCTGGCAGTGCCAGGACAGCGGGACCCCCCCACAGGCCAGGGCTGGGCAGCTGTTAGCACAGGTTAGACCCCCAAAACTGGCTCAGATTCACCCCCCACCCCCCGATTCAGGCAGAGCCCCTTCAAGGCAAACACATGCAGACCCCCCCTATCCCCACACCTCGGGGGGCGCAGCGGGGACCCCCCAGAACCCTGCACGCACACGCATGCACCCCTTGGCAGGGCAGGGGGCTGGGGGGCAGTGCCAGGCACCGCCAGGCTGGGGGGCAGCTGGCGGGGACCCCCCCAGGGGCACGGCCAGCTCCGGGCACCCCGCAGCCGAGAGCACCATGGAGAAGCGGGGGGCAGGGCTGGGGAGGGGGGCACGGCCCCCACCCCGCGCCGGGGGCACGGGGACACGCCGGGTCCCCTTTGGTCACTTGCTGTCCCTGCTGGAGATGCTGGGGGGCTGCGGCAGGGGGAGACCCCCAGGGCACGGCTGGCCGGGCACGAAGGGGGGGCACAAAGGGCCCGCACCCCAAAACCAGCGCTGCCCGCACCCCCTCATCCTAACGCGTGTAAACGTCCCGGCCCCAGCCCTCTCCGTCGCTCTGGCCCAGCGGCTCCTGGCCCTTGGCTCGGTCCCAGGAGCCGGGCGGGGGCTGCGGGCCGGCCCCGGGGGTGCCCGGCGGCTCCTCCTCCACGGGATCCATCTCGATGTCCATGCAGCACGAATCGCCGGGCTCCGAGTCCCGGCTGCCCGGAGCCTCCGTGTCGAAGGTGTCCTGGCGGGCCAGGCTGCGGGGGCCCGGCCGGGAGGGCGGCGGGGGGACCCTGCCCTGCCCGCGGCCCCCCGACTCCTGCCGGGGGCGGCCGTGCTCCCCCTCCGGGTGCGGAGCCTGGGTGCGAGAAGCGAGCACACCATGCGGGGACGGACGGGCTGGGGGCGCTCCGGGAGGGGGTTAGTGGGGGGTTAGTGGGGGACACACGCTCCTGGCCAGCCTCTGGTGGGTGACACGGTGGCAGCGGGGCTGGGGATGGGGAGGGGGAGCGGCACCAGCGAGGCAGGCTCGCTGGGAGATTTAGCGACACAAAACACAGGACACGTGTCCCCTCTCTGTCCCCAGCCCTGGGATGGGGCTGTGCGCCCCCCAGCCAACCCACCCAGGACACCCCCAAATTCTCACCCCCACCACGGCTCCCCCAGAGGTGTGGGAATGGGGTGCCGGAGATTTAGCGACACAAAACGCAGGACACGTGTCCCCTCTCTGTCCCCAGCCCTGGGATGGGATGGGGCTGTGCCTCCCATCCAACCCACCTAGGTCACCCCCAAATTCTCACCCCCACCCAGAGGTGTGGGAATGGGGTCTGGCAGCCCCAGGAAGGCACAGGGTGGGTCTCGAAGGGGGCAGATCCTGGGGGATCCCAATCCCCTGGGCAGCTCCAGGAGGAGGCACAGATTCCCAGCAGACCCCAGATGTGGGGCTGGCAGCAATCCCAGGCAGGGAGAGATGCCCAGGATGGCCCCAAATCCATCCAGGAATGGGAGCAGCTCCCTGGGGTGACCCCAATCCCAGAACAGCCCCTGCAGAACCCCTGGGTGGGGGGGGGGGGCACAGGTTCCCAAAGGAACAATCCCAGGGCTGGTCCCACTCCTGGGGGGCTCTGCCTCCCCATGGGGACCCCAATCCCATGGGCTGCCATATCCCAGGGTCCCCAGGGTGGGTGACCCCCACTTTGGGATCACAGTGTCATGGGGTGACCCTAACCCTGGGGTGGCCCCAGTCCCAGGGTGGAGAGCCTGACCCCAGGGAAGGTGACCCCAGGGACAATCCCACAGTTGTGGGGGGCCACATCCTCCTGATCCCAGGACAGGTGACCCCCAGGGACAATCCCACACCTGGAAAGGGCCACAGTCCCCTGAGGTCACCCTGATCCCAGGACCAGGGACAACCCCACACCTGGGAGTCCCATGGAGTCACTCTGATCCCAGGACAGGTGACCCCAGGGATAGTCCCACACCTGGAAAGGGTCACATTTCCCTGAGGTGACCTTGATCCCAGGACAGGTGACCTCAGGGACAATCCCACACCTGGGGAGGACCATAGTCCCATGGAGTCACCCTGATCCCAGGTGACCTCAGGGACAATCCCACAGTTGTGGGGGGCCACATTCCCCTCAGGTCACCCTGATCCCAGGTGACCTCAGGGACAATCCCACAGTTGTGGGGGGCCACATTCCCCTCAGGTCACCCTGATCCCAGGTGACCTCAGGGACAATCCCACACCTGGAAATGGTCACATTCCCCTGAGGTCACCCTGATCCCAGAACCAGGGACAATCCCACACCTGGAGAGGACCACAGTCCCCTGAGGTGACTATGATCCCAGGTGACCTCAGGGACAATCCCACACCTGTGGGGGGCTGTCACTCCCCAGGCCGTCCCCAATCCCAGGGACCTCCCGATGCCTCTGGGGTGTCCCCGCTGTCCCGCGCCCCGCTGTCCCCAACGTCCCTGATGTCCCCAGCGTCCCCGCCGCCACCTCACAGCGCGTGCTCCTCCAGGGGGGCTCCGGGGGGGCTGGGGGTGACCTGGCGGCCCCAGAGGTTGAGGTTCCTGCGCAGGGAGGTGAGCACCTGTACCTGGAGGTTGGAGACGGGCGCGGGGCTGGCGGCCAGCGCGGCCGTGGCCATGGTGCGGCTCAGCAGCGGGTTCGGGGGGTTGCTGCTGGGCGGGTGCGTGGCCTTCCAGTAGGCCTCCAGGTACTCGGCCAGGTGCTCGCACGCCTCCTCCAGCTGGTTCTCGTCCAGAACGATGTCGAACATCTCCTGCGGGAGGGACCCGGGAGAGCTGGGGCAGGGCGGGGACATGGGGCGGGGACAGTGGGGCAGAGCCTATGGGACAGGGTGGGGACAGTGGGGCAGAGCCTATGGGACAGGGTGGAGCCTTATGGGACAGGGTGGGGACAGTGGGACAGGGAGGGGTACCTGGATGTGAGGCAGAACCTGCGGGACAGGGCGGGGACAATGGGACAGGGAGGGGACAATGGGACAGAGCCTATGGGACCAGGGTGGGGACAATGGGACAGGGAGAGGACAATGGGACAAAGCCAATGGGACAGGATGGGGACAATGGGACAGGGAGGGGACAATGGGACAGGGTGGGGACAATAGGACAGAGCCTATGGGACAGGAAGGGGACAATGGGACAGGGAGGGGTACCTGGCAATGGGACAGAGCCTATGGGACAGGGTGGGGACAATGGGACAGGGAAAGGCAGCTGGATATGGGGCAGAGGCCATGGGACAGGGTGGGGACAATGGGACAGGGAAAGGCAGCTGGATATGGGGCAGAGGCCATGGGACAGAGTGGAGCCTTATGGGACAGGGTGGGGACAATGGGACAGGGAGGGGACAATGGGACAGGATGGGGACAATGGGACAGGGAGGGGTACCTGGATATGAGGCAGAACCTATGGGATAGAGAGAGGACAATGGGACAGCGAGGGACAGCTGGACATGGGGCTGGGCCTATGGGACAGGTCAGGGACAACGGGACAGGACGGACAGGGCGGGGCAGGTCAGGGTGGGGTCAGTCTGTGTGGCACCGCTGTGACCAGGGCACACTCACAGGCGGGCACTGTGCCAGCTTGTCCGAGGCCACCATCTGCACGTTGAGGTGCTTGGCCTGGGACTTCCCCCTGGACTTGACCAGCCTCTGCAGCACCTGGGCACGAGGGGACAGCAAAGCGGCCGTGGGGACACTGCCAGGAGCTGGCACTGCCAGGTGTCCCCAGCGTGGCAGGGAGGGGCTGGCACTGCCCCCAGCGCCCGCACCCACCTTGGGGGAGGTGATTTTGATGTAGACGATGATGGGGGCCAGCGAGGTCTTGGCCAGCTGCGCCGGGTGGTTGATGGTGTCGGCGTCCAGGGCCACCAACTGCAGCGTCCGCGCCAGCTCGAAAATGCGCTCGGTCTCACTCTGCACCTCGGCTGGCAGGGGACAGGGGACAGTGAGGGAGGGCGGGGACACGCGGGGACAATGTGGGGAGGGGCAGGGGACACAGGGACAGCACCAGGAGGTGCTGGGTTAAGGTTTGTTCTGACTTAGAGGCGTTTTAAAAATGTTGTATTCAGCCTCATGTGAAAGGTGGGACAATACAAATGCTATAACTGATGTTAGCACAGTTAGAAGTTAAATTATTTAGCTGTTTATTAATTATTTCCAAATATTTAGGAAATTTATTAACTATTTCCTAATATTTATTAACTAATTCCTAATATTAGGAAATTTATTAACTGTTTCCTAATTTATTAACTATTTCTTAATTACAACACACTATAAGTGTTGCTTGGCCTATTAATTTTTGCCACACTTTGCTACAAATGCCTTAAAGCAAATAATTTAGAATTACCCCTCGTGGCTTCTAATATAATGCATCTTTCATTAAAATGTATATATTCTATATATCACTAAAGATATATAGAATATATATATTTACCTGGGTGTGAGCCAGGGACAAATTCTAAAGATATATAGAATACATATATATTTATTCATATTTATACCTATATATATTCATATTAATGTATATTCATATAGAAAAAAAATATATATTAAGATATATATATACGTATATATAAATATATATATCTATATAATATATGTCTATATATATATAGGATCTATATATGACTATATAGATATATATTGAGATATATACTTAATAAAAATATAGAGATACAGGTATATATCTCAATATATATCTATATAGTCATATATAGATCCTATATATATATAGACATATATTATATAGACATACATAGATATATGTATCAGTATCTATCAATATATAAAAAATATATAAATATATATCTATATATTCATATATATATGAACATATATATTAATTCTATATCTATATATACCTAATTATATATCTATATATACCTATATATAGATATATCTCTATATATATCCATATATATCTATATATTGATATATGTTCAATATAGATAAATATATTCAATATAAACAGATACAATCTATATATCAATATAAATCTATTTATATATTCAGATACATACTGATATTTATTGAATATATATATTCAATATATATCTATATATAGATAAAATCTATATATCTATAGATATTACATGTATATATTCTATATACATATAGATGTATAGCTATATATATAAGTATATATAGATATAGATATAAATACATATATACAAATATATATATATATAAATATATATAAATAGATATAGATATAGATCTATATATATAGATATAAAAATATATATAAATAGATATAGATATAGATCTATATATATAGATATATATTTATATAAATATATATACACATATCTATATATAGATATATTCAATACAGATATATATATATATTCATATTTCTCAGCAGTATCTATTGTTTTTTGTAAGGCCACCTCCCAAGTGCCACAGCATGGGGACAGCAGCAGGACAGGGCCTGTCCCGAGGCTCGGCCACCTCGGTGTCACCACAGGGACACCACGGGAGGTGGCACCAGCACAGCCCGCCCCCAAACCACACACACACACACACACACAGATGCCACCAAGGTGTCCCCAACCCTCAGGTTGTGTCCCTGAGGCCACCTTGGGGGGGGACAGGGGGGTCCCTGTACGTACCCAAGACATCTGTGTCGGGAGCAGGGGAGGAGGAGGCAGCGCAGGGGGAGGAGGAACCCAGAGAAAAGAGAAATGGGAACAGAAAAACACAATAGAGATGATGGAGGAGGAGGATGATGATGATGGGGAGGAGGAGGAGGATGCGGAGGAAGAGGAGGAGGAAGAGGATGGGGAGGAGGAGAAGGAGGAGGAAGAGAAGAAGGAGAAGAAGGAGGAGGGGGCTTAGGGGTCCTTGGCCATGTCCCCTCCTCACTAGAGGAGGAGGAAGGAGGATGGGGAGGAGGAGGAGGAGGATGAGGAGGATGCGGAGGAAGAGGAGGAGGAAGGAGGAAGAGGATGGGGAGGAGGAGAGGGAGGAAGGAGGAGGAAGAGAAGAAGGAGGGGGGCCAGGGGTTCTTGGCCATGTCCCCCCTCACTAGAGGAGGAGGAGGAGAAGGAGGAAGGAGGAGGAAGAGGATGAAGAGGAAGAGGATGGGGAGGAGGAGGATGGGGAGGAAGAGGATGGGGAGAATGGGAAGAAGGAAGAGAAGGAGGATGATGATGATGATGGGGAGGTGAAGGAGGAGCACAGGGTCAGTCACCCCCACCCCCAGGAGCGGGATGAGTCTCCCAGGCTGGGCTGGGGTGATACAGAGAGAGGCTTGGGGGGGATCCCATGGGGAGTTTGGGGGTCTGGGGTCTTGGGGGGTGTTTTTGGGGGTTCCAGGTGGGGTTTTTGGGGTCCCACGGGGGCGGTACCCAGGCTGGAGCGGGTGCTGGAGCGCTCGATGATGGTGTGCTTGCTGGGGTTGTTGAGCACGGAGCGCTTGGCCAGGGAGATGTCGGCTGTGACCCGCGTGATGGAGATCCTGGGGACACAGAGGGGACAGCCCGCAGCCACGGTCACCCCACAGCCACCCCCGGGACCCCAGTGCCACCAATGACACCCCACAGCCACCCCCGGGACCCCAGTGCCACCAATGACATCCCACAGCCACCCCCATGACCCCACTGTCACCCCACAGCCACCCCCAGGACCCCACTGTCACCCCACAGCCACCCCCAGGACCCCAGTGCCACCAATGACATCCCACAGCCACCCCCAGGACCCCACGGTCACCCCACAGCCACCCCCGGGACCCCAGTGCCACCAATGACACCCCACAGACACCCCCGGGACCCCAATGTCACCAATGACGCCCCACAGCCACCCCCATGACCCCACTGTCACCCCACTGCCACCCCCAGACCCCACTGTCACCCCACGCCTGGCTCCTCTATGGGTTTAGGGGTCCCTTTGTGGATTTAGGGGTTCCACCATGGGGTTCAAGTTCCCCACATGGATTTAGGGGTTCCTCTGTGGGTTCTTCATGGGTTTATGGGTCTCCCTCCCATGAGTTTAGAAGTCCCTCTATGGGTTTAGGGGTTCCCTTGTGGGTTCAGGGGTCCCTCTATGGGTTTAGGTGCCCCACCTGGATTTAGGGGTCCTTCTATGGGTTTAGGGGCTCCCTCAGGGGTTCAGGGGGTCCCTTTGTGGGTTTAGGTGCCACCACATGGATTTAGGGGTTCCACTGTGGGTTCTTCATGGGTTTTAGAGGTCTCCCTCCCATGAATTTAGAGGTCCCTCTATGGTGTTAGGGGTCCCTCTATGGGTTTAGGGGTTCCCTTGTGGTTTTAGGGGCCCCCACATGGATTTAGGGGTCCCTCTATGGGTTCAGGGTGCCCTCAGGGGCTCAGGGGTCCCTCTATGAGTTTAGGGGTCCCCTCGTGGGTTTAAGGGTCCCTCTATGGGTTCAGGAGTTCCTCTATGGGTTTAGGGGTCCCCTCGTGGATTTAGGGGTCCCTCTGTGGGTTCAGGGGTGGATTTAGGGGTTGCCTCAGGGATTTTGGGGGTCCCTCAGGGGTTCAGGGGTCCCCCTATGGGTTTAGGGGTCCCCTCATGGGTCCAGGGGTCCCGTGCCCCCCTCACCGTCCGTCGAAGCGATGCTTCAGGAAGTCGAACAGCGCCTTCTGCATCATGTCCGTCACCTGGGGAGGGACACAGGGACAGCAGGGACACAGGGACACGGGGACAATGCAGGGCTGGGGTCCCCCCGAGCCCCCCGAGCGCCCCCCAGCCCCCGCTCACCTCGTAGCCCTTCAGGGAGGGCCCCACGAGGATGATGGGGCGCATGGAGGGCACCACGTCGTACGGGGGCACGTGCTCGGTCTGGGGACACAGCCGGGGGTCACCGGGGCACGAGGGGACAGGGACACCCCCGGCGGTGGCTCCGGGGTGTTTGGGGGGGGCTGCAAGCAGGGGGGGCCTCCACTCCATCCCCCCCCTCCCTGGTGCCACTCACCGACTTCTGCTTCTGCTTGGCTGCGTCCGGGGGCAGAGGCACACAGCAAAGGCAAAGGCAAAGGCATGCGTGTTATTGGGGACACGGGGACACGGGGGGACAGCCAGGGACACGTGTGTGACCCTCCAGGGGTGAGCCAGTGACACATGTGTGACCTGCAGGGTGACCTAGTGACAGATGTATGACCCAGGGACCTGGCTGCCACACCCTTGGGGGTGACCCAGGAACACATGTGTGACACAGGGACATGGCTGTGACCCTTCAGGGTGACCCAGTGACACGTGTGACCTGCACGGTGACCCAGGACACATGTGTGACCTCTGGGGTGAGCCAGGGACACAAGTGTGACCGCCCAGGATGACTCAGGGACACACATGTGTGACCTGCAGGGTGACCCAGGGACACCTGTGTGACCCAAGGACACATGTGTGACCTTCCAGGGGTGACCCAGTGACCTGGGTGTGACCTTCCAGGGGTGACCCAGTGACATGTGTGTGACCTGGAGAGTGACTTAGTGACACCTGTGTGACCCAGGGACACCTGTGTGACCGAGTGACACGTGTGTGACCCTCCCAAGGGTGACCCAGTGACACGTGTGTGACCCAAGGGATGCTCTGGTGACACGTGTGTGACCGGGGGCCCTGGGGACAGTGACACAGCAGCACTGTCCCCTCTGGGGTAGCTCTGGGTGCCGGGGGGGCTCTGCAGGCCTGCTCGCCCCTGCAGACCCCCCCATCCCGTGTAGTGGTAGCGCCCAAACCACCCAGGTTATGCCCGGTTGGGGGGGGAGGAATGGTCCATTCTCAGCCGCGGGGGGGTGACACACCGGCCGTGCTGGAACACACCATGCGCACACTGCGGGGGGGGGCAACCGGGAGGGGGGGCACGGGCTGGTCCATTCCATGGACGGGGGGGATCACAGCCACGGGCTGGTCCATTCCATGGACGGAGGGGATCACAGCCACGGGCTGGTCCATTCCACAGTCCCTTGGGGGGATGCAGCCATGGATTGATCCATTCCATGGATGGGGAGGGGGGGGATCACAGCCGTGGACTGATCCATCCCATTGACAACACGGGGGGGGGAGGTCAGCCACGGACTGATCCATCCCATTGACAACATGGGGGGGGTCAGCCATGGACTGATCCATCCCATTGACAACATGGGGGGAGGGGGTCAGCCATGGACTGATCCATCCTATGGACCACGGTGGGGGACACAGCCACAGACTGATCCATCCCAGTGACAGCACAGGGGGGGTCAGCCATGGACTGATCCATCCCACGGCCCATGGAGGGGGGTCAGCCATGGACTGATCCATCCCATTGACAACTGGGGGGGGGGGGGGGGGTCAGCCACGGACTGATCCATCCCAGTGTCAGCAGGAGGAGTCAGCCCCGCACTGTCCCCGGTGCAGGGCTCACCCCGTGCTGCAGCCCTGGGGCAGTGCGTGGCCCCCCAGCCCCTCCCTTGGGGGTGCCCCCAGCCCCCCGGCAGTGTTAGGGCAGGCAGCGGGTGCGGCAGGCGGGACCCGCGGGCTCCGTTACCTTCCTAAAGAAGGGGATGCGCTTGCTGTGGGCGGGGGGGGGTAGTGACACTGCTCACGCTACTCTTAGGGGAGCGCTGCGCCTCCAGGGCCTCCTCCTCCTCCTCCTCTAACTCATCGGCCTCAAAGGCAAAGCTGGCCATGTCCAGGCCACCTGGGGACCGCGGGGACGGCGCGGGGGAGAGAAGAAGAGCGACAATGGCGATGGGAGAACGCAGGAAACAGAGATGGGGATGCTGCGAGAGGAGATGGGGGCACCCTGCCTGCACCCGTGGGGAGCTGGGGAGGGACCCCCAGGCTGGAGCTGCCTTTGGGGGGTGAGGGTGTGGGGGGACCCCCAGGACACTCTTACCGCTGGCGGGGGGCGTGGGGCGGCGTGTCCCTGTCACCACATCGCCCAGGCTGGAGCTGGAGTTGTCACCCGATTTGCTGCGTGGGAGAAGCACGGGGAGAGAGAGGGAGAGAGAACGCTGAGGGCGGGATGGGGAAGGTACAGGGAGAGACGTGTGTGTGGGGGGGGGGAACATCGGGGTGAGCCCCCACCTGGAGCTCAGGCGGCTCTGCCTCATCTTCTGCTCCTGCAGCAGCCTCATGTTCTCCAGCTTGACGGGGCTGGGGATGAAGCCGACCTCGCAGCCCTCCTTCACCAGCCGCCCGATCCACCAGTCATTGTTGTATTTCTGCACATAGAGAGGGGGGAAAAACCACAAAAACGCCTTAAAAACCCCACAAAGGCCCAACCCAGTGCTGTCCCCGTTATCCCCCGGGGCTCTCGCACCTCCTTGATGTGCAGGAAGTCCTTGGGCTCGAAGCAGATGGCCATGCCCTGCACGGGCACGTCGTCCCCGGCCGAGGGGTTGTAGCCCACGTTGGTGCGCACGGCGAACGCCACCGGCTTGGTCTGCGTGGGAGATGGATGGATGGAGAGGGCTGGGCAGCTGCCCCCGGCACAAAACGGGGAGATGGAACCCCAAAACGGGGAGATTTCACCTCAAAATGGGGAGATTTCACCCCAAAATGCGGAGATTTCACCCCAAAATGGGGAGATGACACCCCAAAATGGGGAGATCTCATCCTTTGACATCCCAAAATGGGGAGATTCCACCCCAAAATGGGGAGATCTCATCCCCTGCCACCTCAAAATGAGGATATCCCACCCTATGCCACCCCAAAATGGGGAAATTCCACCCCAAAATGGGGAGATGTCACCCTCTGCCATCCCAAAATGGGGAGATTCCAACTTCTGCCACCCCACAACAGGGAGATGTCACCCTCTGCCACCCCAAAACGGGGAGTTTTCACCCCAAAACGGAGAGATTCCATCCCAAAATGTGGAGATTCCACCCCAAAATGGGGAGATTCCACCCTCTGTCACCCCACAATGGGGAGATGGCACCCCAAAATGGGGAGATTCCAGCCCAAAATGGGGAGATTCCAACTTCTGCCACCCCACAACAGGGAGATGTCACCCTCTGCCACCCCAAAATGGGGAGATTTCACCCCAAAATAGAGATTCCACCCCAAAATGGGGAGATGTCACCCTCTGCCACCCCAAAATGGGGATATTTCACCCCAAAATTGGGAGATTCCACCCTCTGCCACCCCACAACAGGGAGATTCCACCCCAAAACGGGGAGATTTTACCCCAGAATGGGAAGATTTCACCCTCTGTCACTCCAAAACGGGGAGATTCCAACTTCTGCCACCCCAAACAGGGCTGGGGGGCACCGGGGGTCCCTGTGCCAGGGCTGGGGGTCCATCCCGGCTCTCCCACCTTGGCTTTCTCCAGCTGGGCCATGGCCTGGCGCTCGGCCTCCCTGCGCAGCGCCTCCCTGTCCTCCTCCAGCGACACATCCGAGTCCGAGGGGCGGCTGGTGTAGGACTCAGCCGAGCCCTGCGCGGTGGGGAGGGGGCTCAGCCCGGCCTGTGCCCCCCAGGGCAGAGAACCCGGCCCCAATCCCAGCCCTCTGATCCCGCTGCACGCTCTCACTGTGCCGGTGCCCAGCACTGCGGGCACTGGGAGCCACCCTGGTACTGCCTGGAGCCACCCCAGGGCTGCCTGGTGCTGCCTGGTGCTGCCCAGAGCCACCCTGGTACTGCCTGGAGCTACCTCAGAACTACCTTGGTCCTGCCCAGCGCCACCTGGTGATGCTTGGTGCTGCCAGATGCCACCCCAGTGCCACCTGGTACTGCCTGGAGCTATCTCAGAACTACCTTGGTCCTGCCCAGCGCCACCCGGTGCTGCTTGGTGCCACCCTGGGGCTGCTTTGTGCCACCCTGGTACTGCCTGGAGACACGTCGGAACTACTTTGGTCCTGCCTGGAGGCACCTGGTGCTGCTTGGTGCTGCCAGATGCCACCCCAATGCCACCTGGTACTGCCTGGAGCTACCTCAGAACTATCTTGATCTTGCCCAGTGCCACCCGGTGCTGCTTGGTGCCACCCTGGGGCTGCCTGGTACTGCCTGGTCCTGCTTGGAGCCACCTTGGAACTACCTTGGTCCTGCCCAGTGCCACCTGGCACTGCCTGGTACTGCCCAGAGCCACCCCAGTCCTGCCTGGAGCCACCCAGTGCTGCCCAGTGCCACCTTGGAGCCACCCTGGTCCTGCTCAGTGCTACCTAGTGCCAACTGGCAATGCCCACTGCTGACCACAGCCATCCCAGTGCCATCCCGGTGCTGCCCAAAGCCACTCCGGTGCCACCCCAGTGCCACCTGGTACAGCCCAGTGCTGCCCCAGAGCCACCCTAGTCCAGCCCGGTGCCACCCCCGTGCCGCCTGGAGCCACATTGGAGCCACCCTGGAGCCACCCCAGTGCTGCCCAGAGCCCCCCTGGTGCCACCCTGGTGCCACTCAGTGCCACCCTGGTCCTGCTCGGTGCCACCCGGTGCCACCTGGTACTGCCCAGTGCTGCCCAGAGCCATCCCGGTGCCACCCCAGTGCCACCATGGTCCTGCCTGGAGCCACCCGGTGCTGTCCGGTGCCACCTTGGTACCACCCTGGTCCTGCTTAGAGCCACCCTGGTGCTGCCCAAAGCCACCCCGGTGCCACCCTGGTCGTGCCTGGAGCCACCCCAGTGCCACCTGGTACTGCCTGCTGCTTCCCAGAGCCACCATGGTCCTGCCTGAAGCCACCTGGTGCTGCCCGGTGCCACCTCAGTGCCACCTGGTACAGCCCGGTGCTGCCTGGAGCCACCTTGAAGTCACCCAGTCCTGCCCAGAGCCACCCTGGTGCTGCCCGGTGCCACCCAGAGACACCTCGGCGCTGCCCAAAGCCACCCCGGTGCCACCCTGGTCCTGCTTAGAGCCACCCCGGAGTCCCCAGTGCCACCCCAGTGCTGCCCAGAGCCACCAGGTCCTGCTTGGAGCCACCCCAGTGCTGCCTGGTGCCATCCTGGTGCCACCCTGGTCCTGCTTGGTGCCACCCCAGTGCTGCCCTGGTCCTGCTCAGTGCCACCTGGTGCCACCTGGAGCCACCCCGGGGCTGCCTGGAGCCACCTCAGAGTCACCTGGTGCTGCCCAAAGGCACCCCGGTGCCACCCTGGTCCTGCTTAGAGCCACCCCGGAGCCCCCAGTGCCACTCCAGTGCCACCCCCGGTGCCACCACAGTGGCAGGGTCACGGCAGGAGAGGGACACACACACACACACACACACACACACACACACACATGGCAGCTGTCACCACCGCTCCGGGAATGTGACACCGTCCCCGCTCCTGTCCCACTGCCCGGGGCCTCTGCAGAGCCGGGAGGGGACTCGGGGACCCTCCCCCAGAGTGTCCCCCCAAGAATGTCCCCCCCAATGTCCCCAGGTGTGGGACAGGGCGCTCTGTGGGTACCGGAGGTGGCATCGGGGATCCCCTGCTCCCCCCCAGCCCCACAGGGACACCCCAGGGACGCGGTGGGTGACACATGGGACCCCCCCAAACCATCCCTACACCCCCCTCGGGACCCCCCCCCCCAGCCTTGATTTGTCCCTTTGGGGGTCACCCCAAATTTGGGGGTCACCTCGGGGTGGGGCACCCCTCCCCAAAACCCACAGTGGGGACACCCCTGTCCCACAGAGGGGACACTGGGGGGGTCACCGCGCCCCACAGACCCCCCAAAACTCTCAGAGGAGCTGAGGGGGGGGGCTCGGGGGGTCCTGAGGGCTGCAGTTTTGGGGGGGGGGGGGTCGCTCACTGCGACAGCGGGGACACCCCAGGGACGTGGTGGGTGACACATGGGACCCCCCCAAACCCTGATTTGTCCTTTTGGGGGATTTGGGGGTCACCCCTTTGCATAACCCAGGGTGGGGACCCCTCCCCAAACCCCACATTGGGGACACTCCTGCCCCACAGAGGGGACACTGGGGGGCTCACCGCGCCCCACAGACCCCCCAAAACCCGCAGAGGAGCTGAGGGGGGGGCTCATGGGGTGCTGGGGGCCGCAGTTTGGGGCGGGGGTCGCTCACCGGGACAGCCGGGGGGTCTTTGCCGGGGACCTCCATGGTGGCGGGGCCGGGCAGGGCTGGCCAGGGGCGGGGGGGGGGCTCAGGTTTCACCCGGGTAAATTTAGCCCGGGCCAGAGGGTGGGGGCTCAAACAGGGGGGGGCCAGGCCAAGCCTCAATTTTGGGCTGTGCCCACCCCCCCAAAAAAAAAACGGGGCTGCGATTTGAGGGGGGGGAAACTGAGGGGAGCGGAGGGCCTGGCTTGGTGCGAGCCCCCCTCAGTTGTCGGGGTACAAAGGAGAGCTGGGACCGCCCCAAAAAGCACCGGGACCCCCCAGAAAAGATCCGGGACCCCCCAAAAAAGATCCGGGACCCCCCAAAAAAGCACCGGGACCCCCCAAAAAAGGCCCGGGACCCCCCGCACCTGCCGCACGAAGCTGTTGGAGGTGGTGTCCGAGGAGGTGCTGCCGTCCGAGCGCTTGAAGCGGCTCTTGCGCCTGCTGTACTTGCCCTGGGGACAGCGGAGGGGGCGACACGGGAGGGCTGGACCCCCCCCCCCAAAAAAATCCCCCCAAAATACGGGGGGCAGCTCTGCACCCCCCCCAGCTGCTCCCTTCCACCCCCGCTCTGCAGCTGAACCCCAGTGGGGGGCTCGGGAAGGCGATGGGGGCGCCCCTTCCCCTTTATTTTGGGGGGGGGGCTGTGACCCCCAAACCCGCTCAGACCCCGCCGTGTTGGGGTTGGGGTCGCAGCCCCCCCAAATTCCAGTTCCCCCCCCCAGTTAAACCAGAGCAAAACAGCCCCCCCAAAACCTGAGACCCCCCCCCCCAGTATGGGAACCCACCCCCATGGGACCCCCCCCTCAATCTGGGGGTGTCCCCAGTGCCCCCCACGCCTTTTGGGGGGGGGGGTGGAAATGCTGGGGGAGATATTGGGGTGTCACCCCCCCCCTCACAATGTCCCCAAGGGACAGCTGGGCCCAGCTGCCACCTCCAGGGGTGGTGGGGGGTCCCCATGGTGGGTATTTGTAGGTACAGGACCCCCCCCCCCACCCCAAAAAATGTCACTTTACCCCACAATCTGTCACCCTCAAGAGCACACAGAGAGTGGGGGTCTCTCCCCAGCGCCCCCCACCCCTCTGGCCCCACCGAGGGGACTGTCCCTGTCCCCCCCACCCCAAAACCAGAGGGGACAAACCGAGGGAAGGGGATGGGGAGGGGGGGGGAGCACCCCAAGAGTTTTCCCAATTCCCACAACTTTCCCTTTTTCCCAACACCCCCCTCCCCAAAAACATTAACCCAAACCTGTCCAATTAGGGGGTGCCATGGATTTGGGGTCTCCCCCTTTATTTTTAGGTGCTAGGACCCCAAACAGGGTGTTAGGACCCCATTACCAATACAGGGATTTGGGGGGAAAGGCTGAACCCCATCTCCCACCCCCCAAATTCCAAGAGGGCGAAATTCCATGGGATGCTCCCGCCCCCACCGTGCCCAAAACACCCCCAAACCTCTCAAATTACGGGGACGCCACGAGTTTGGGGTCTCCCCTTTTATTTTTGGGTGCTAGGACCCCAAACAGGGTGCTAGGACCCCATAACCAATGTAGGGATTTGGGGGGAATGACTAATCCCCATCTCCCACCCCGCAAATTCCATGGGATGCTCCCGCCCCCACCGTTCCCAAAAACCCCCAAATCTCTCAAATTACGGGGGCGCCATGAATTTGGGGTCTCCCCTTTTATTTTTGGGTGCTAGGACCCCAAACAGGGTGCTAGCACCCCATAACCAATGTCGGAATTTAGGGGAAAAGGCTGAACCCCATCTCCCACCCCCCAAATTCCAAGGGCGCGCAATTCCACGGGATGCTCCCGCTCCCACCGTGCCCAAAACATCCCCAAACCTCTCAAATTACGGGGGCGCCATGAATTTGGGGTCTCCCCTTTTATTTTTAGGTGCTAGCACCCCATAACCAATGTCGGAATTTAGGGGAAAAGGCTGAACCCCATCTCCCACCCCCCAAATTCCAAGGGGGCGCAATCCCACGGGATGCTCCCGCCCCCACCGCGCCACGAAGGGGGGGTGTGGGCGATGCTGTCACCCCCAAAAAAAGCCCCGGGGGTGTCACCTGGAGGGCGGCGTTGTCCAAGACGTCCATCTGGATGTCCTGCGTGGAGCTGTAAGGGGTCCGGGCCATGCCGCCTTCCCGCACCATGGGAGCGCCGCGATTTATTTTGGGGGGGATTTTTTGGGGTTTTTTGGGATGGGTGGGAGGGAAGGGAAGAAGGAGGGAAGGAGGGAAGGAGGGAGGGAAGCGCGCACACGGCACACACAGAGGAAGATGATGACGATGAAGCTCAGGCCTGGCCCCCGCGGTGACGGAGGAGGAGGAGGAGGAGGAGGAGGAAGGAGGAGAGGGATGGGCGGCCGCTCCCGCACCGCTTTGCCAGGGGGATGGGGGATGCGGGAATGCGCCCCCCACCCCATAAAGGGGGTGCCCCCCAATCCCCGCCCCTCAATCCCGAGCGGGGGTGGAGGGGGTCGGAGCATCCCCGAATTTTGGGGGGACTTTTGGGGGGGTCCAGCGCTCCCCTGTCCCCAGGTGCAAGAGGGTGCCCCCTCCCCATATTGGTGCCCAGCGCGGTTTTAGGGCTGGGGGGGACCCCAAAAAACACCGCAGGGAAAGGACGGAGACCCCAGGCAAGCGCAGCCGCCATCCCCATCCCGAATCCAGCGCTCTCTCGGGACAAAAATCCGCTTTTTTCCCCCCCCCCCAAAAATCCTCATTTTCCCCCCCAAGCCACCCCAGGGAGAGCCCCCCATACCCCGCTGGGACAAGGTTGCCCTAAAAAATCCGATTTTTTTCCCCAAAAAATCCTCATTTTCCCCCCAAAAATCCTTATTTCCCCCCCAAAGCCACCCCAGGGAGAGACCCCACACCCCGCTGGGACAAGGTTGCCCCAAAAATCCGATTTTTCCCCCAAAAACCTCCACAGGGTAGCACAGGAAGAGCCCCCCCCCCATACTCTGATGGGACTTGACTGCCTCAAAAATCCGATTTTTTCCCCCAAAACCTCCCCAGGGGGAGCATACAGAGAGCTCCCCACACCCCACTGGGACAAGGCTACCCCAAAAATCCTCATTTTTCCCCCAAAACCTCCACAGGGAGAGACCCCCATACTCTGCTGGGACAAGGTTGCCCCAAAAATTCTCATTTTCCCCTGAAAAATCCTCATTTTCCCCCTAAAACCTCCTCAGGGGGAGCATACAGAGAGCCCCCCACACTCTGATGGGACAAGGTTGCCCCAAAAATCCGATTTTTTTCCCTAAAAACCTCCATAGGGTGAGCACAGGAAGAGCCCCTCATACCCTGCTGGGACAAGGCTGCCCCAAAAATCCTCATTTTCCCCTCAAAAATCCTCATTTTCCCCCCAAAAATTCTCATTTTCCCCTCAAAAATCTTCATTTTCCTCTCAAAAATCCTCATTTCCCCCCCAAAAATCCTCATTTTCCCCTCAAAAATCTTCATTTTCCCCTCAAAAATCCTCATTTTCCCCCCAAAACCACCGCAGGGGGAGCACAGGGAGAGCCCCCACACCCTGCTGGGTGTCCTGGCAGTGTCCCCTGTCCCTGTGGGACAATCCCCCCCCACCGTGTCACCTCCCCCCTCTGTGTCACCTCCCTCCGGCTGTCGGAAAGTTCCCGATTCCTCCTCCCCCACCCCCCCAGGACGGGATTTTCCAGTCCCCATCCCAGGGACAGCTGCAGAGAATTCCCCACCCTGCAGCGGCAGCTGGGGGGGGGCTCCGGGTCACCCCAGGGACCCCAAATTGGACCCCCCATACATGGAAAAGCCAACCCTGCTCTCCTGGATGGAAATAAAACCCCTGGAGGGGCTCTGGGAGTGATTTTGGGGTCATCCCAGGGACCCCAACTCGGACCCTGTTCTCCTGGATGGAAATGAAATCTCTGGGGGTGTTTTTGGGGGGCTCCGGGTCACTCCAGGGACCCCAACCCAGACCCCTCCATGCCTGGAAAAGCCAACTCTGCTCTCCTGGAGAGAATTTAAATCCCTGGAGGGTTTCTGGGGTTGATTTTTGGGGTTCCCTTCCAGCCAGGATCGTGCCCGGGGGTGATGGTGGAGGCGGACACCGTCACCTGGCACTGCGTGGGGAGATTGGCACAATCACGGCATCTCCTCCTCCCCTTCCTCCTCCCTGCCAGCTCCCCGGGCACCCCCTCTGCTCCCGGGAGGAGCTGCAGGAACCTGGAGCCACGGAAATTCCCGGGAATCCAAAAAAAGGACGGGAAAACCCCTCAGAACCCCCCAAAAACAGCAGCGGCCTCACCTGAAACTCCTCACATTTGGGCTCAGCTGCTTTTAATCCTCCTGGGATCCTTGGGCACCACAAGGTGGCACTTCCAGGGGGTTTGGTGGCACTTTCAGGGGGCTTGGTGTCACTTCCAGGGGGTTTGGTGTCACTTCAGAGGGTTTGGTGGCACTTCCAGAGAGTTCAATGTCACTCCCAGAGGGTTTTGGTGTCACTTCAGGGGGCTTGGTGTCACTTCAGAGGGTTCAGTGGCACTTCCAGAGGGTTTGGTGTCACTTCCAGAGGCTTTGGTGAGACTACTAGAGGGTTTGGTGGCACTTCTAAAGGATTTGGTGACACTTCCAGAAGGTTTGGTGGCACTTCCAGACGGTTTGGTGGCACTTCCAGAGGGTTGGGTGACACTTCTAAAGGGTTTGATGGCACTTCCAAAGGTTTGGTGTCACTTCCAGAGGGTTTGGTGACACTTCTAAAGGGTTTGGTGGCACTTCCAGAGGGTTGGGTGACACTTCCAGAGGTTTGGTGTCACTTCCAGAGGGTTTGGTGACACTTCTAAAGGGTTTGGTGGCACTTCCAGAGGGTTGGGTGACACTTCCAGAGGTTTGGTGTCACTTCCAGAGGGTTTGGTGGCACTTCCAGAGGGTTTAGTGGCACTTCAGGGGGTTCAGTGTCACTTCCAGAGGTTTGGTGACACTTCCAGAAGGTTTGGTGGCACTTCCAGAGGGCTCAATGACATTTCCAGAGGGTTTGGTGACACTTCAGGGGGTTTGGTATCACTTCCAGAGGGATTGGTGACACTTCCAGAGGGTTTGGTGTCACTTCAGGGGGTTTGGTGGCACTTCTAAAGGGTTTGGTGTCACTTCCAGAGGGTTTGGTGGCACTTCAGGGGGTTCAGTGACACCTCCAGAGGGTTTGGTAACACCGCTGTCCCCGGCACTGTCCCATTCCCATCCCAGCCATTCCCGCCCCGTTTTTGGGGCCGTTTGTTGAAGGAAGAGGCTGAGGCAGTTGGGAAACAGAGGGATTCTGTGTTTATCCCTGATTTTCTGGGAAATCCACCCAAAAATCTGGCGGCGGCAGCAGCAGCTCCAGATGGCGGCGACGCCTCAGCGCCGGAAGGCGGCGGCGAACCCGACCCGGGGAGGGGTTTGGGGGAAATTCGGGGGATTTTGTGGAAAATCGGGGGATTTGGGAAGTAATCAGGGGATTTCAGGTGTAATCCGTTGATTTTGGGGGTTCATTGGGTGATTTTGGGGGATAATCAGGTGATTTCAGAGGTAACCTGGTGATTTTGGGGTACAATGGCGTGATTTCAGGTATAATCAGGTGATTTTGGGGGTTCACCTGGTGGTATCAGGGGGTAACAAGGTGATTTTGGGGGTTCATTGGGTGATTTTGGGGGATAATCAGGTGATTTCAGGGGTAACCAGGTGATTTTGGGGGACAATGGGGTGATTTTGGGGTTAACCAGGTGATTTCAGGTATAATCAGGTGGTTTTGAGGGATAATCAGGGGATTTTGGGGGGTTTAACCAGGTGATTTCAGGGGGTAACAAGGTGATTTTTGAGGGTAACCAGGAGAATTCAGGGGGTAACCAGATGATAACAAGGTGATTTTGAGGGTTCGCCAGGTGATTTTGGGGGTTCACCAGGTGGTTTCGGGGGGTAATCAGGTGATTTTGGGGTATAATGGGGTGATTTTTGGGGCTCACCAGGTGGTTTTATGGGATAATTGGGTGATTTTGGGGGATAACCAGGCCAATTCAGGGGTAACCAGGTGATTTTGGGGGATAACCAGGTGATTTCAGAGGTTCACCTGGTGATTTCAGGTATAACCAGGTGATTTTGGGGTATAATCAAGTGATTTCAGAGTTCACCAGGTGATTTTGGGCTCCCAGCACGATCCCAAAGCAGACTCAGCCCTCCCAGTACAGACCAGTTTGGACACAGCACAGCACCAGTGCTCTCATGGACATGTCCAGACCTGCCTGGACATGTTCAGTTCTCCCAGCAAGGGCTGGGACGGGCCCTGAACCCCCTGTCATGAGCTTCCTACGGTGCCAGCGGGGCAGGGACATCCCGTAATCCCGTTTTAATCCCATCCCAGTGCTCCCAGTTCATCCCAGTCCATCCCAGTGCTCCCTCCACATGCCTCCCACACCCCCAACGCGCATGCGCAGCCACCGCCCAGCCCTTCCCGCCACGCACGCGCGGGCTGTACCATCCTACTACAACCGAGGGGGGAGCCGGGCAGGACCTACCCCTCTCCCACGCGTCTCGCGTGGGTCCTGGTTCTTTAGATAAGTGACCACGCGTGATTTCATCGAGTTTGTTTCTTTATCGCGTTTGGGGCTGCGGCGAGGCCGCGGGGACGGGCGCGGAGGGAGGGTGGGGTGGTACATCCCGCAGGCAGGGGGCGGGGTCAGCGCTGCCGCTGCGTCTCTCCGGCCCCGGCGCCGCCGCCGCCATGAGGTGGGAGCGGGGCCGCGGCCGCTGCTCGGGGGATAACGGCGGTCGGGAGGCACCGGGGAGGGCTGGAGGGCAGCGGGGAGAGTGTCCTCAGAGCCGGGGCGGCGTCCGGGCAGGGCTGGGTGGCGGCCCCGGGCGCTGTGAGGCGGCCGCGGCCTCCTGAGGCCTGGCGGGAAGATGGCGGAGGGGCGCCATGGCCGCGCTGAGGGGCGTGAGGGGGGTCTGGGGGCGCTGAGCGGGGTGGGGACGCTGCTCTGGGGCACTGCGGACCTTGGATGCGCCCCTTGGAGCAGCGCGGGGCGTTGAGGAACTGAGGGGGGTGAGGAGGGGTCTGAGGGCCGGGGGCGATGAGTCCCTGAGGGGGGTGAGGGTCCCTGAGGGGTCCCAGAGGGTGGTGAGGGTCCCGTGAGGGGCGATGCGGGACC